AAACAAAATGTGATTGAAATTGTGAAATGTTTAATAATGTCTTACCCCAATCTTCTTTATGGATTTCATTGACTCCTTCTTAACCAGTTTGATATAGAAAGCTGAGGGCAGGATGAAGATCAGCATTGCAGCAGCAGAGGCACCTGGAAGGAGGAATAATTGTAAAGTTAATCCCAACAGGTCAATAATACATTGTTAGAAAGTTGATGATACATATTAACATGTACAGTTATTTACCAATAAAGCCAAAAATATCTCTGATGCTCGGGACAAAGATGACCAGAATGTTGGTTCCTGTTAACAGGGTCAGGGGGATGATAGCGTGACGGATCCAGCTGAAGTCTTTTCCTGGGAACAGCAGGTGGCCGACTGAGGTACGAATCTGTTCAGAACCAGACAAAGATTAGCTCAATGGACTTCATAGTCTTAGTGACTGACTGGATCATTAACAGTAGACCCTCAATACTTACAGGGAAGAGCATCACAGGAACTGTGAGTGTGACAGCGGCCAGCACAGCCAGGCGAACAACCAGCAGGAGAATATCGTACTTGTAGTAGTTTGAGTAGGTGTGGAGCAGCTCAGGTCCCACATGGACTGAACAGAAATATGACAGAGATCACTCTAATTAAATTCAGATGATATGGCTACAATCATATCATCTAATTTTCAAGCAGTACCATGGTCACACTTTGGACTAAGATGTAAACCGTCTTTTTTACGTTATAAAGAGGATTTTTAAAAATTAATTTTCTTGTACTATCTCAAACGTTGACATATGCTGAAGCTACTGTTAATGTTTTTGAGTACATAAAACATAAATGTGGGCTAAATGTTTCACTTGCAAAGGAGTGTTACTTAAAAATTAATAAAACAATAAACATACAAGTCTTTTGGGCTTTATATGTAGAATCCATATTTAATTTTTAGAATTGAATTTAAATTGCTAGCAGATTAATTAAATGAAGCCAAAATTGGGCTGCTAAAGAGAAGCTTTACATCCAAGTCTCTGTTAACATGTATATGCTAACATTTAGCTACAGGAGCATAAAACTACCTTCTTGCAGCTCTCTGAATAGTACCAACAAAGTTAAAAAAATAAATAAAAATAAATAAAAAACAAGATTGAATATTGGTTTGATATTTCTAAATTCTAAAACTTCAACCATCTAATAAAACATCAATGTTTTGCTTTTCCATCTCTACACCTTTAATGCTCAGGATCAAATTGACAAATTAGCAGATATGATACAAACAAAATTACAATTAATGTCAAACATAACTGCTAATTGTTTGTGCTTTTTAGAGATTAAATGCTAAGCTAGCTATGGCAAAGCTGTGCTACTAGCTGCAAAAATAAGTTGATTTTGAATTACATTCAGGGTTTGTCATTATAATTCAGACTAAAACTGAATACAGTCATATATTAGCAATGCAATTTATGTTTTTCTTACATCTCCTTTTATCACCCTTGCCTGCTTAGACTGTTGTGTATAATGTCAAAGGACGATTTACAAGTCCTTATGTAACTGTTGTAATGTTCCAGGAAACATTTCTAGCTGGACTGGGTTTTTTTTTGTTTTTTTTTGTATATTTGAAGTCAAACAGGAACATGCTGGCACCAGGTGCATCAGGTGGTGTTTTCACACTGTTGTGTAACCAGCGTTGAATCAACACATTAGGATTTTTAATTGAAGTCCTCTTTACACTGCAAACCACAATTACTAAAACATTTCAAATTTAAGGTAAATGACCTGTGAACCCATGAAGTGAGAATTTTGTACAAGACTGGATAATTTGAAAGAAAACATTTATTTTATTTTTTGTTTTATTTATTTGTCTAATGACAGGTTAAATTTGTCAACATTATACAATATAAATGTGTGGATGTTAGCTAAAGTTAGCACATTTTTACTTGCAGCCCCATTGAAGTTGTTAAAGCCAGCCTTAAGCTAATAATTATATTATTTATTTATGTTTTACAATAAGTGCATCTAAATATGCTACACTGTAGTTTTTAAATCTTGCCCAACTTACTGTTGAAGGTGAGGTATCCAAAGAGGGCGGCCAGCAGGTACATGATGAACATGGCCAGGAAGGAAACGTTGGCCACATTCTGCATCTTTCGGCGTGAGCGGCTGTTCAGGGAAGGAGAGTTTTATTTACCAGACCAAACTTTAAAGAAATATAACATTGGTTTAGTTTAAACATTATAGAAAGTTTGAGTTAAATCCATGCAGCAGCACTTACTCTTTGAGCTCATCATACATGGGTAGGATAGTAGGATGGCACACGAAGGCAAACGTGAGGATGGGTATAGCATAGACAGTCTGGAGAGATGGAAAAATACAAAGATTATAAGTTATTCTATGAGTGTTATTGAAAATATTCAAACCTGTTTAATCTGTGAGAGATTTATTTACCTGTGAGTTAAAGACAAAGTATTTAGGCTTGCAAGTGTCATCATCTATAGTGACGTTGTCGCTGTGGGGGGTGATGTTGAACATATGCATGGTTTCATTTCCAGTGTCAGGAAGAGGCAGAGGGCATGGGATCTGGAACTTCTTTATGATCACCTGCAGGAATATATAGAAAAAATATATTTTTAGAGGGCGCTATATTTTTACAGTGCCTAAATGAACTAAACATTTAAGTTTTTAATGAAATGATGGGTTGTATCTGACTGTCAAAGGAGGAATAAGGAAACAAGGTGGGGTTGTACTCACCACAATCAGAAAAAACACCATGCAGAGCAGAGAGAGACCACTGGTGTAACCAAGGTAACCTAGTGAGGCAAGATAAAAAATGATTTTTGTCCGAAAGCTGGTGCTTCAACTTTTATTGTTACTTAGGAAATACATCCTTACCTAAGTTCCTGAGTAATGAGAGAGGTAGGATGACAATAATCGAGACCAGAATCACGAGGTAATCTCCATTGATGTACCATTCACTGAAACACATACAAATACATCTTTAAATTGATAGAATAATATTTGTTACACAATCTGTTGAAAAAAACATAATTTATTAGTTTGAACAGTCAAAATGAAAAGTTTTGGTAACTTTATTTTGAAGGGGTTTGCATAAGACTGACATGACACTGTCATATACATAAGATAACGTGTCATAAACATAAAGAAGTCTTTATGAATGTTTATGACAGTTGTCATGAAGTGTCATTCAGTAAATAATGACACTTTTAATGCAAAGTTGCTCTAAAAGTTGCATTAAAAGTCCATTAAAAGTGGCAACTTTGCATTAAATTATCATAATTTACAAAATCATGCAAAGTTGGCATTTTTAATGGACTTTTAATGCAACTTTTAGAGCAACTTTGCATTAAAAGTGTCATTATTTACCGAATG